ATCACACTCAAGTCAACAACGGTCACCACCACAGAATACGAGTCACTGCAACGAATGTACGAAGACGTGTTGAAGGAGAGAGATGCCATTCGACTTGAGCTGATTGAGTTTAGATCCAACAGCGAGCGTGAACTTGCTATCCAAGTGGAAAACCAAATCAGAGTCTACCGTGAGGATATCAGGGAGAAAGAAGTCGCCATTAGCAACTTCCGCTCTGAAAACATGAAGTTCCAAGCAGAGTTTGAGACGTTCAAGAGAGAAGCTGACAGCAAGCAGTATATGATAGATGGATACTTGGTGGAGATCGACCGCCTGAAGAACGAGATCAATGCATTAAACAAACGCATTGTGGAGTTCGAGTCTGTCAAGCGATCTTACGAAGATGTTTGCCGAGAACGTGATTACATCCAGAGGCAGTTTGCAGATTTCAAATCCAGGAGCGAACAAGATACAACCTTTCAAATTCAAATCCAAACTGATGGTTTCCGACAAGAGATCAAAGAGAAAGATCTGGCCATTGAAAGATTCTCGTCCCAGAACAAACTTCTTATGGAAGAGGTTGATGGATTGAAGAGGGAACGAAGCACTTTCTACAGCAAATCAGAATACGATTCCTTGAGGCAACAGTATGAAGAAATGTGGAAAGAAAGAGATGCTCTTCGTGGACAGATTGCTGAGCTAAGATCCAAGAGTGAAAGGGACCTAATCGTTCAGATAGAAAGTCGCACCGAAACGTACCGCACAGAGATAAGAGAGAAAGAAACCATCATCAGTCGCTTGCAGTCCGAGAGCATGAAGTACCAGACAGAAATAGATGGTCTGAAGAGGCAACTGGGCAACCAGGAGGCTTATCTGATTGAAATTGAACGCCTAAAGAAAGAAGTTAACGCACTGAGATTCCCAGACATCCGTGGTAGCGCAGAGTTTATCTCCTTGCAGCGAACTTACGAAGAAGTTTGTAAAGAACGAGATGCATTAAGAGGCCAAGTTGTTGACATCAAGATGAAGGGAGATCAAGAGCACGAAAACCAAGTGAGAATCTACCGTGAAGAAATCAGGGAGAAAGAAGAAGAAATCAACAGACTTCGATCAGAGGGCATGACATTCAAGGCTGAAATTGAAGGATTCAAAAGAGACCTCGGCAACCAAGAGGCTTATCTGATTGAAATTGAACGTTTGAAGAAAGAGGTTAACACACTGAGATTCCCAGACATCCGTGCCAGCGCAGAGTTTATCTCCTTGCAACAAACTTACGAAGAAGTTTGCAAAGAGCGAGACGCACTGAGAGGCCAAGTTATTGACATCAAGATGAAAGGAGACCAAGAGCATGAAAGCCAAGTCAGAATCTACCGTGAAGAGGTCAGAGAGAAAGAAGTAGAAATCAACAGACTTCGATCAGAAGGAATGGCATTCAAGGTTGAAATTGAAGGATTTAAAAGAGATCTCGGCAACCAGGAGGCCTATCTGATTGAAATTGAACGCCTCAAGAAGGAAGTTACCACACTTAGATTCCCTGACATCCGTGGTAGCGCAGAGTTTATCTCCTTAAAGCGAACCTACGAAGAAGTCTGTAAAGAACGGGACGCATTGAGAGGCCAGGTTGTTGACATTAAGATGAAGGGAGACCAAGAGCATGAGAACCAAGTCAGAATCTACCGTGAAAAGATCAGAGAGAAAGAAGTAGCAATGGAAAATCTTCGCGTGGAGAGCATGTCATTTAAGGCAGAAATTGAAAGATTAAGGAGAGATCTCGGTAATCAAGACGCCTATTTGATTGAAATAGACCGTTTGAAGAAGGAAGTCAACACATTAAAGTTCCCTGACATCCGTGGCAGCGCAGAGTTTATTTCCTTGCAGCAAACATACGAAGAACTTTGCAAAGAACGAGACGCACTGAGAGGCCAAGTGGTAGATATCAAGATGAAGGGAGAACAGAACCTTGAAAACCAAGTCAGAATTTATCGTGAAGAGATTAGGGAGAAGGAAGTAGAAATCAACAGACTTCGATCAGAAGGCATAACATTCAAGGCTGAAATTGAAGGCTTCAAGAGAGACCTCGGCAACCAAGAGGCTTATCTAAATGAAATTGAACGCTTGAAGAAAGAGGTTAACACACTGAGATTCCCAGACATCCGTAGCAGCGCAGAGTTTATCTCCTTGCACCGAACTTACGAAGAAGTTTGCAAAGAACGAGATGCACTGAGAGGCCAAGTGGTTGACATCAAGATGAAGGGAGACCAAGAGCATGAAAGCCAAGTGAAAATTTATCGCGAAGAGATCAGAGAGAAAGAAGTAGAAATCAACAGACTTCGATCAGAAGGAATGGCATTCAAGGCTGAAATCGACGGATTCAAGAGAGACCTCGCCAACCAGGAAGTCTATTTGATGGAAATTGAACGCCTCAAGAAAGAAGTCAACACATTAAGGTTCCCGGACATCCGTGGTAGTGCGGAGTTCGTCTCCTTACAGCGCACATACGAAGAGGTTTGCAAAGAACGAGATACACTGAGAGGCCAGGTTATAGATATCAAGATGAAGGGAGACCAAGAGCATGAAAACCAAATCACAATGTACCGTGAAGAGATTAGAGAGAAGGAAATTGAAATCAACAGACTTCGCACCGAAATCATGACATTTAAGGCAGAAATTGAAGGATTGAAGAGGGACCTGACGACCACTAAGCAGCGAAGTGAGATAGAGGTGGAACGCGTTAGGAAGGAATCATCAGTAATAAGCCCTTCCGTTATCCGCAGCAGTGCCGAGTTTGTCACCCTACAACGATCATATGAAGCAATCTGCCAAGAGAGAGACAGCCTCCGCCAGCAAATGATCGACACGAGAACAAAGAACGAGCGTGAAGTGTCCATTCAAATCGACAATCAAGCAAGAGTTTACCGTGAAGAAATCAAGGAGAAAGATGCCGCTTTACAGATGCTTCGTTCAGAAGCGATCACACTTCGAGCTGAAGTCGAGTCGCTAAAGCGTGACCTCCGAATTGCACAGGAAACACCTGTACATGACACGAAGATGGAACAAGAACTGTTTAACCTGAGAACAAAGTTTGCCAAACTCCAAGAAGAATACAACATCGTCATGTTGGCAAAGAGCAAGTTGGAGGAGGAGATGGTCATCAAAGTCAACAGTGGAATGGCTGACAAACAAGACTACATCTACAAGATTGAGAAGGAGAATAGAGAATTGAAGTCCGAGAACGAGTATTACGAGAAGACC